CCAGTAATCAACACCAAGAAATAGCTCCCTTTGGTTACTAAAATCCTGGAAAGAAATCATAATTACCCCATCTGGGACTATGGCCTTTAAAGCATGAGTACTTCAGATAGAACAGTCCATTTCTAATCCCACTACTCTTATTGATTTTCAAATTCATTGAAATTGGGGGGAAAAGTAAATAAATAAATAAATGCTTTCATGGATGGGAGATTTTTTTTTTTAAGATTTTATTTATTTATTTGCCAGAGAGAGAGAGAGAGAAAGAGAGAGCGAGCACAGGCAGGCAGAGTGGCAGCAGAGGCAGAGGGAGAAGCAGCTCCCCACTGAGCAAGGAGTCCGATGTGGGACTCGATCCCAGGACACTGGGATCATGACCTGAGCCGAAGGCAGCCGCTTAACCAACTAAGCCACTCAGGCGTCCCATAGATGGGAGATTTCAATCAGGTTTCTTTAAATCAACAAGTTTAAATCAAGTTATTTGAATTTAATAGGAAGTATAGTTAGGAGAAGGAAGGAAAGAATGGATGGGGAAATCAGAGCGGGGGGCGGGGCACGAACTATTGAGCCTAGGGACTCCTAGAAACAGACTGAGGGTTTTAGAGGGGAGAAGGGTGGGGGATGGGTGAGCCCAGTGATGGGTGTTAAGGAGGGCACGTATTTCCTGGAGCACTGGGTGATAAACCATGAATCATGGAACAGTACATCAAAAACTAATGATGTACTGTACGGTAACTAATTAAAAAAAAGAAAGCATACAGTAATACTCTATTGAATTTCATAATTTTTAAATTATAGGTTATTAAGTGTGGTTCCAGCTATACAGAATTGGGGAAAAATGTTTTAACTTCCTAAGCGTACCCCTTGGCCCAGCAATTCCCTAGGCATTTACTAAAGAGATATAAGAACGTGCACACCCAATGATTTGCCCAGGAATGTACCAGCTTCACTTACAATAGTCAAAGCTGGAAATGACCCAAATCGCCATCAACAGAAGGAAGCGATAAACAAAATTGGAGTAATCCCTACGATGGGCTATGGCTCAGCAGTAAAAGGAAACTATTGAACACACAAAAATATGGACAAAACCTATGGAAATTAGACGGAGCTAGAGAAGCAAGACACAAAAGAGTGCATGCTATAGGATCCTATTTTATGAGGCACCAGAAAATGCACAAATATAGTGCACGATAAAAATAATTAAAAGTGTCGTCTCTTGATAAGGGACAGGGATTGCCTGGGAAGGGAGCAGGAGGGAACTTTCTACGGTGATGTAAAGGTTCTCTATCTTCATAGGGTTGATGGTCACATGAGTCTATCCATTTGTCAAAAATATAAAATAGTACACCTGAGATATGGACATTTCGATGTATGTGCATTCCCCTGCCACAACCCCCCCCAACAAAATCCCACACAGTGGGATGGGCGCATGGGTGTGTGAACCAACTGTGGCCGAATTCAGCCACTGTCACGGCTGGGAGACCAGTACGGGCTTCTTAAACACTGTTGTGTTTACTTTCTATATATTTGACATTTTCCAAAATCAAAAGGCTAAAATATGTATCAGTGAAATGTACCATCAAAAATTTTATACCATGAATATGTATCTCTCAAGAAGCTTCTTCTGTGTGCAGAAGACATTTAGGAAGATGCGTGGAGGTGCCCTGTGTGACGTCACGTGGAGAATCTGAAATGGAGCTCACGATTTTCTCAGGCTCCCCTCGCCCCACCCCCAGCAAGCCTCCCGGCTAACAGGCCATCAGAGTGAATAGGGTATGGTTTCTCAGCTACCACCCACCCCCAAATTAATTCTCCCCTGGTCCCTCCCATCTTTATTTCTAACAAACATAGGTGTGGATGGAGAAACCCAAGTGCCTGCACTGGAGGGAACAACGGACCTGACAGACCTCCGCCTCAGCCTTTATTCTCTCTGCGCTCCAAAGACGGTGTTTTATAATTAATGAGAAGACAAAAATTCACTTTTTTTACGTCTTGATTATTTCAATCTCATACTCAACTCTTCACCCTCACTTTCTAATTTCTCAGGAATACAAAGATAGACATTTTCAGAATAACAACATCCAGAGAACACGAACCAAGGTCAATGCTCAATTTCTCTACTGTGGACTGACAAGGCTCAGACGCATACCAGTCACTAAAGATGCCATATTAGTTTTCAAAGTTTTGCTTGTGACAAATCCTATACTTTTTCACGTAACATGTCCAAAGAATCAGAAGTGCCAAGCAAAGTCAAGAACTAACCCGAACTCCGAAACAGCTACTTAAAGGTATATTAATATCTCCTAGGTCGTAAGGGGATCGTAACCGCCCTTGGGTGAAGAATCTGGACAGGTGTGATGAGCGGACTCCGTGTTGGCATCGATCAGTTCTCTAGAGTCGGAATAGGACAAACACTGAAATTAGCTAAAACTAAACATCTAAACTTCATGTGACCTCTACTTACAAATATGTCTACCCAACATTCCTTTAACACATCCCTCGCTAAACTCCGGTGCAGAATTTCACAAGATGATGAAGTAGCAAACGCCCAGAAAGGATCAGAAAGATCCTTGATGCCAGCATTTTTGTTTATTCATTCATTCATTCACTCGTTGAACACATTTATCCGTTCCTACACAAGGCGGATGCCCTTCAGGTCTTTGAAATACACAGAATAATTTAACGTAATAGTGAACAGAACAAAGTTCACGTCCTCACGGAGCTTACATTCTAGCAGGAGGAGGCAGGCGTAGAGGAAGGGCTGAGGGTGGCAAGCAGGGAGGGCATAAAGATGACCATTTAACTGAGCTGGTCAGGAAAGGCTTCTTGGTGACAGTGACACTGAGCAAACCTGAGGAACGTGAAGTTTCAGAATTCCAGGCGGAGAAAATGGCAAGGCCAAAGGCCCCATGTGGGAGCCCACCAGCAAAAATGAAGACACGGGGAACCAGTGTGGATGTACTGGAGTGAGCCAGGGTCAGAGAAGTGAGAGACAGGAGGGGGAGGGGTGCCCCAGGAGGCTCTAAGCCTCAGTGGGCCATTTCCGGTGTCTGGACATCGACTGTGAAAGAGAGGGGCAGCCAACGGGAGGACTGGGGCAGCAATGAGCCTATGGAATGTTTTTCAAAAGATCATCAGCTGGGAGAGCAGAACAGACACTAAAGGAACAAAGGTGGAAATGGGAAGAGCAGTTCAATCCGGGATGATGTGCTCAGAGGAGTATTTTAACTAATTTGTTTATCGGTTGCATTTCGTTAAAGGACACGATATTTCAGTAACTAAAACCACAATCAACTGAGTTGCTCTCTTCTTTGCCACTGGCTTTGGGAAGTTAGTTTTTGAGGGAAACCAAGAGTCATAATCGGTTACTTTGCAGGCTCTGGTTTGATCTGCTTGGTAGTAATTCCTTCATTTTGATTAAACTAATATGTAAATAAGACAAAAACTGCGAGTTTCCCAAACAACAACCGTTTTCAAAAATATTTTCACCAATAACAGAAAATAAGCATTTTAATTTGCAGCTGGATAGGAAAGTTTTCCTATGTTGCAGTTTTTCATAACCTTCATCACAACATACACTATAGTAGTCAAAACCCACTTAACTAGTATTTCTGAAAAAAAGATATATCACGATAAAACGACACTGCAAAGCACAGAACCCATCACCACTCTCAGAATTGTTTTATCATTGATGTCTGAAATCCGTCTCGGACCAGACCGGCTCTCAACGGCTCTCCTGTCTTTAATTTCCTTATTTCCACAACCAGCACGTCTCCGGCAGCCTCGCGAGCCATGTTGGTAGCACTTGGAGTCACAGAGCGCCTGGAAAACCGTCACGTACCGCGTATCTTTCAAGACTTGTACCCAGAGTTGAGTGTTATTAACTGGTTTAAGAGTGTGCCAGCAACACATGCTTCCCTGCACACGCCGGCGACTCCGATGCATTCAATGACCCTGTGGGGAACCGCAGCCGCAGGCCCGAGCGCTGCCCGGGCGATGCGCACAAAACGAGACGCCGATTCCACTCTCCGGCGTCTCATTCTCAACGTCTTGCATGTCACCAGGCAGGATTTTAAAGCAAAAACCAACGCTAAAATACAATTCACTTTGGTTTTGCGGGAAGCTAAACCCACTTGCCAAAACAAGGGACGGATTTTCCCTTCGTAAACAGGGGCAGCCCCTGCAGCAGGAAGGGCGCTGGGGTGGGGGTGGGGAGAGGCAGTGAGCAAGGACCGTCCCGCTGTCCGTCTGCCCGCCGAGCTCTCACGGGGGGACCGGGGCGCGGTCCAGCCGCGCACTCGCCCTCCCCGAGCGGCGCCGACCCGGCCCTTCGAGGTGTGCCCACAAGCGCGGGGACCCTCCGCAGGCTCCGCGGCGCGGGCATCACCACGGACCTCGTCGTCCCTGCCCGCCTCTCCACTGCCCTCTCCCTCCACCCCCGCTCCGGTTCCGTTTTGCTTTATTTCGTCTCCTCACACTGACGGAATTCTTGCAAACTGACCTCAACCCTTCCTGGGACAAGAAAACCCAGAAATGGAAAATAAGAGGAATCGAGCTTTCTCCGGATCTAAATTTAACCGCAGCTGCGGCGCGAGCTGCGGGGAAGGTGCGTGGGTGTCCGCGGCGAGAAGCTTCGGTCTCCGGGAGCCGAGACGCCGGCGGGGCCGGAGGAGACGCGCGCGCAGGGAAGGGCTCGGCGAGGAGGGATGGAAGAACACGAGGCCTCGGGTGGCCCCTCGCCCGGCCCCTCCCGACCCCTCCCCGGCCCACTGCCCCGGCCCCTCCCGACCCCTCCCCGGCCCACTGGGGTCCCGCGCTGCCCCGAGGGCTCGGCCCCAGGGCGGGTCCCCGAAGCGCGCGCGCACCCGAGCCGCGGGCTGGGTCCGGGCAGGTCCGCGGAGGCGGCGGAGGGTCGGGCGCTGGGGAGCGAGCGCGGGGGGCGGCGACGAGGCCCGCGAGCTCCCCGCGGCGACGCCAGGGCAGGGCCGGGCGCCGGGACCTACCTGCCGCGGGCCCGGTGGGGCGCACCGCCGGCGCCTCCGGCCTCTCCTCCGCCGCCTCCTCGCGCTGCCGCTGCTGCTGCCGCTGCTGCTGCCGGATGAGGCTGAGGTCGGAGCGGCCGAGCTCGGCGCGAGCGGCCGCGGGCACCAGCCGCGCCTTCAGCAGCAGCGCGGCCAGGCCGAGCAGCAGGGCGCAGGGGACGCGCCGGCGAAGCCTCGCCATGGCCGAGAGCCGCGGGGCCGCGGCGGCATATTGCGGGGCTCCAGGCGGCGGCGGCGGCGGACGCCCGGGCTGCGGGCTCCCTCGCTCCGGCTCGCGCCGTCTGCCTCGCGCGCCTCGCGGGGAGGAGGAGGCCTGGGAGGCGGCGCCGGGGACGGGGGCGGCGGAGGAGGGGTACTTCGCATCGCGGCGCACGTGACGCGCAGGGCGGGGCGAGCCCGCAGCCGGGGCCCCGCGGCCTCCCGCCGCCTCCCGCCGCCTCCCGCCGCCTCCCGCCGCCTCCCGCCGCCTCCCGCCG